CAACCCAATAGCAATGGCCTCCAACCTACCAGCAATGGCCTCCAACCTACCAGCGATGGCCTCCAACCCAATAGCAATGGCCTCCAACCTACCAGCGATGGCCTCCAACACAATAGCGATGGCCTCCAACCTAATAGCTAATGGCCTCCAACCCAATAGTGCTCGCCTCCAACCTAATAGCAATGGCCTCCAACCTACCAGCGATGGCCTCCAACCCAATAGCAATGGCCTCCAACCTACCAGCAATGCCCTCCAACCTACCAGCAATGCCCTCCAACCCAATAGTGATGGCCTCCAACCTAATAACATTGGCCTCCAACCTACCAGCTATGGCCTCCAACCCAATAGCGATGGCCTCCAACCCTATAGCTAATGGCCTCCAACCTGAGCGATGACCTCCAACCAAATAAGGATGGCCTCCAACCTAGTAGCAATGGCCTCCAACCTACCAGCGATGGCCTCCAACCAAATGGCAATGGCCTCCAACCTAGTAGCAATGGCCTCCAACCTACCATCGATGGCCTCCAACCCAATAGCGATGGCCTCCAACCTAATAGCAATGGCCTCCAACCTCAGGGATGGCCTCCAACCCAATAGCGATGGCCTCCAACCTAATAGCAATGGCCTCCAACCTACCAGCGATGGCCTCCAACCCAATAGCGATGACCTCCAACCCACTAGCGATGGCCCTCCAACCTACCATCGATGGCCTCCAACCTAATAGCAATGGCCCCCAACCTACCAGCGATGGCCTCCAACCCAATAGTGATGGCCCAACCTAATAGCAATGGCCTCCAACGTACCAGCGAGGCCAACCCAATAGCGATGGCCTCCAACCTAATAACCGATTGCCTCCAACCTACCGATGGCCTCCAACCAAATAGCAATGGCCTCCAAGCTAATAGCAATGGCCTCCAACCTACCAGGGATGGCCTCCAACCTACCAGCGATGGCCTCCAACCCAATAGCAATGGCCTCCAACCTACCAGCAATGGCCTCCAACCCAATAGCGATGGCCTGCAACCTAATAGCAATGGCCTCCAACCTATCAACGTTGGCCTCCAACCCAGAAGCGATGGCCTCCAACCTACTAGTGATGGCCTCCAACCTAATGGCAATTGCCTCCAATCAAATAGCAATGCCCTCCAACCTACTAGCACTGGCCTCCAACCCACAAGCTATGGCCTCCAACCTACTAGCGATGGCCTCCAACCTACTAGCAATGGCCTCCAACGTAGAAGCGATGGCCTCCAACCTAATAGCAATGGCCTCCAACCCACTAGCGATGGCCTCCAACCTAGTAGCAATGGCACCCAACCTACTAGCGGCGGCCTCCAACCAAATAGCAATGGCCTCCAACCTCAGGGATGGCCTCCAACCCAATAGCGATGGCCTCACACCTAATAGCAATGGCCTCCAACCTACCAGCGATGGCCGCACAACGCAACTGTCCACCAAATTGATCTCACGAATCGGGAAGAAAGGTCCAAAAAAGGAAAAAGGTCCAAACAAAAGTGCCACGCTACTAATAACAAGTGCCTTACTAGTAGTAACAAGAAGCTACTAGTAACAAGTGCCATGCTACTAATAACAAGTGCCTTAGTAGTAGTAACAAGAAGCTACTAGTAACAAGTGCCACGCTACTAATAACAAGTGCCTTAGTAGTAGTAACAAGAAGCTACTAGTAACAAGTGCCACGCTACTAATAACAAGTGCCTTACTAGTAGTAACAAGAAGCTACTAGTAACAAGTGCCACGCTACTAATAACAAGTGCCTTACTAGTAGTAACAAGAAGCTACTAGTAACAAGTGCCACGCTACTAATAACGAGTGCCTTACTAGTAGTAACAAGAAGCTACTAGTAACAAGTGCCACGCTACTAATAACATGTGCCTTACTAGTAGTAACAAGAAGCTACTAGTAACAAGTGCCACGCTACTAATAAGAAGTGCCTTACTAGTAGTAACAAGAAGCTACTAGTAACAAGTGCCACGCTACTAATAAGAAGTGCCTTACTAGTAGTAACAAGAAGCTACTAGTAACAAGTGCCACGCTACTAATAAGAAGTGCCTTACTAGTAGTAACAAGAAGCTACTAGTAACAAGTGCCACGCTACTAATAACAAGTGCCTTAGTAGTAGTAACAAGAAGCTACTAGTAACAAGTGCCACGCTACTAATAACAAGTGCCTTACTAGTAGTAACAAGAAGCTACTAGTAACAAGTGCCACGCTACTAAAAAAGTGCCTTACTAGTAGTAACAAGACATTACTAGTAACAAGTGCCACGCTACTAATAACGAGCGCCTTACTAGTAGTAACAAGAAGCTACTAGTAACAAGTGCCACGCTACTAAAAAAGTGCCTTACTAGTAGTAACAATACATTACTAGTAACAAGTGCCACGCTACAAATAACAAGTGCCTTACTAGTAGTAACAAGAAGCTACTAGTAACAAGTGCCACGCTACTAATAACAAGTGCCTTACTAGTAGTAAGAAGAAGCTATTAATTTTCCTTTCCTTTTTAGCTTTTAGACCTTTGGGAGCTGTCCAGGATCCACAGCCACCTGGACCAATCCAGCGAGGTCGGAGTCGCATCGTTGCAAAACCGCTTCTTCCCTTTTCTTCCGCCTCCTGACAGTGTAGCTGTCCCTCTGACTTATACCAGGACAAAGAACAGGAAATCAATCTGCAAAGTTGAGCAGCTGAAACTTACTCCAGAAAACTGCAGGGGTTGGTCTTTGGATCGCTCAACAAACTCTGAAAGTGCTAGGCCTAGACCCCAGGGTGATGAACCCGGCAACTTGGCCGCTCTTAATGCACAGTGTGAACGGACTGGACTGCGACATGTACCGCTCTGAGCACTGCGTCTGAGCCATGCACTACTGACAGGTCTCGTCTCTCACTAATTAGTGTTTGTCCTTTTTTTCAGTGTTTTTGGGGTCAACAAACAGATGGGTCCTTTGTGTTTGGAAAGGCAACCTCCCTAGTGCTGTTTAGAAGCCAACATCTTGCACCGTTTCCAAACTGTCCAACCTGCTGATTGATTCTCCTTTAGGCAGCTATGGCCGCTTTGCAGGCATCGTTCGGAGCAGGTGTGGGTAGCAGGGCTGCGGACTCCGGACAGTTGACGTTTACCTAGGGCACTAATGCCCATTAATGCCCAAGGTTTGTTGGGAAAGCGAATCACCCCGTTCAATCAATGATGTATTGGAATTTGCTTCCGTGCATTTGGAAAATATTAACTTGGCTTTTGCTTGCAAAAGTAAATCCAGACTCGTGGCTGAGCAATGCTTTCAAACGCGTGCGCGTGTCAGAGATCTTGACATTGCTAGGTGGCCCGATGGCCAGTCCCCCTTGGTCCTATGGCATTCCAATGGTGTCTTGGAGGAACTGATTCCACGCAAATCGATGAGACTCTGCAGCATGTGCTATTTGCTTTAGTGAATCTACCAAAGAAGAGATTGCACAGATGTGCTTAGCGCCACGCTGAACAGACACGCAAGTCTTCAGCAGTGACCTATCGATATCTTAATTTCTCTATTCTTGTGGACGTGGGCTCTGGCCGCCAGAGCTCGTGGAAGTTGAAGGATGCTTTAGAGATCAGTGTTGGCCTACAACCTGGGGTGGATGACACCTTAGCATTTGTGAAACTTCGACAAGCTTTCCTCATTGACTTGAACTTACCAAGGTACCAACTCCATATGCTGCAGGTGAACTGGGAGCGCATTTCACCTGGCTGCCACATGTTCTTCAAGACTCGAACCATTTGTAGAATCCCACAAAAGCTCACCCGAGTAGATGCAACGCATGGATATTCTGAGGGTTGACGATTCATATTCGCTCCTTCCGACTCCTTCCCACTAGTAGCAAGGTGCCTTACTACTAGTAACACGAAACTACAAGTAACAAGGTGTATCGCTCTATACTAGTAACTTCAGCAGCATTTTAGGAACCCTCATGTTCGGAAGAGGAGCTTCTGTGCGAGGAAAGCATAGGAAAACTATTCGTGAACTGCCAAGACAGGGTGTGAGGTTCATGTCCCCAGGACCGCCGCCAGCATGGTGGCCGAGCACAGGCGAGGCCCTGTGTCCGGAGTCGAGGGGCAGACGATATCATAGGATCGAGATATACAACATATTTTTTAAAACTAACCATGTAATATTGATATCTTGTGATTCGTTTTGCATGAAAAATGGACTCTGCAGCGATCAGAAGGGCGACTACATTCAATCCACATGGCCCAAATCAGGCGAGCGTAGCCCTGCCACACCGGAGACCTCCCGCAAAGGCGCGTTCAAAGGGTAGAGGGTTCTGTAAGGTAAGTCACTTGAGCAATCCCGACTGGAAGAAAAGAAGTTGTTTGGGCCTCGTTAATGAGGCCCCTTGAGTCTCAAACACATTATTTTGTTCTTTCACATTACAGTATCTGGTTTCCGCAGCTGCCAGGTGAGGGTCTTTGGATCTCAACAAAGGTTCCACCCACCCACCCTGCCTTGCTTCCTTGCTTCCTTGCTTCCTTCCTTCCTTCCTTCCTTGCTTCCTTGCTTCCTTGCTTCCTTGCTTCCTTCCTTCCTTCCTTCCTTCACCGCGAGCGCCAGCTCGGTCTGTGCACGCACGGACATGAACAGATGCTATTCCGAATAGAATGTCAGAATACAAGCCAGAAGATATGCCAGATAGGAATCGACGCCAGAAGATATGCAAGAGAATGCTGAAAGGCACGCCAGATAGAATGCTGGAAAGAATGCGTAAATATTTGCAAGTTTGAATAGCTAGACCAGATGGAATGCCAGAATACTGTTAGAAAGAATGCCGGAAAGGGTGCCATAATTTTAGCCACAAAAATGCTGGAAGATATGCCGGATAGATTGCCAGAATGGACGTCATAACTAACATCTTCCAGTTAGAGTGCCCGAAGACTTGCCGAAGACATGCCATTTAGATCCATTTGGAGAGGCTGAAGATATAGCAGATAGAATGCCGGAAAGGATGCCAGAATATATGTCAGGTAGCAAGAATTCCTTTCAGAAGGAATGCCGGAAGATTTGCCAGAAAGGATAATAGCTTGCCGGGAAAGATGTCAGAGATTGAGCCAGGTAGAATGTCCGAAGATCTGCCAGATAAATGCAAGAAAGGATGTCAGAAAATGATGTGTCGGTATAGCTGCCAGATAGAAATTATTCACGTCGCTTCGCGACGGTAACCGCCCGCACCGCATGGAAGAGGCCAATATTTCCACCGAACATAGCCCCGGAAGTGACCCCCCCCTCCCCAACGTGGCCGAGCATAGGTTCCATGTTTCGAGATAGGGATTTAACATGGCCCAACGTAGTTGGGGGGTTAAAAGACTGCTGCCATTTTGCGGGTCGGGTAAGCGGTGAGAGAGCTTCAGGAAGGAACACGATCTGGAACGGGGTCTTGTGCTCTTGGAGCCAAGGGAGTCAGTATGAAAGGAAGATAGGGACTTGAACGTCGCAAATTGATGTATCTTTTCTCAAGGTAGCTCAAGATCGCGTAAGATAGGCCGGACATTCGGCTCAACAGGAGCAGAGATAAGCAGAGATAAGGTCAATTAACGGCAATGTGTTCTCCTAACGTGGCCCGACATAGCTTCCATATTGCCGAACATAGCCCCAGAAGTCACTATCTGAAGCATGTTCCCTCGAGACCGGGACTGGGGGCAAACATGGCCACGTTAGGTTTTTTTTATTCCAGTTTACGACGTTCAAGTCCCTATCTCGCAGACACGTCCTTTAGATAGTGACTTCTAGGGCTATGTTAGGCAATATCTTCACTCTATTCCAGTCCCTTTTGAGCCTTCGTTGGGCCATGTTTACGACGTTCAAGTCCCTATCTCGCAGACACGTCCTTTAGATAGTGACTTCTAGGGCTATGTTAGGCAATATCTTCACTCTATTCCAGTCCCTTTTGAGCCTTCGGTTGGGCCATGTTTACGACGTTCAAGTACCTATCTCGCAGACACGTCCGTTAGATAGTGACTTCTAGGGCTATGTTACGCAATATGGAAGCTATGTTGAGCCCCGTTAAGGGAACCTGTTCAGCCAAATGTCCGGCCTCAGTCCAAATGTCCGGCTCAGATGATGCAGATGATGCAAAGCAGAAAATTGCATTTCTTGCATCACTAAAGGCTTCAAGATAGCAAAAATTAGCACGAATTTATCTTCCACCACTTTAAGCCGGTTCCAAAAACGTGAAAAACACAGGATTCTAGAGCGAAAATGCCCCCCCCCCCCTAGCTAAAGCTATTGGTACTTGCGGTGCTTGCGGTATAATGCGTGCCCTATAAAAACGCCTCGGCACCTTCGGCGCGGGCGGATTTGTCAGAAATCTTGTCAGAACATATGTCGGAAAAGTTGCAGGTTTGATGACAGAGCGCCTGTCTGTCAAAATACATGGCAGAACACAGGTCCGAACGCATGTCAGAACCGAAGTTGGACCGTATGTTACAACGCGTGTCAGAGCGCATATCAGTTTGGTGCGGCAGCACAGGTCAGAAGTGCATGCTAGAAGATGTGTCAGAACACACCTCACCCTTGACAGCAGGACAAATTTTAGAACACGTGCCAACAAGGACATCAGAACACATCGCAGAACATGTCGCAGCCTTTACCAGACTTGATGCCAGAACAGGTATCATTCTTCTCAATCACTACTCGGGGTAATCAGGGTCACTTGAATTACAATACGTAGTTTTTGAGATTTATTTTCTTTCCAGACTGAAGTGCAGAGGGCTCTTCTCGCCGCAGGTGGTGGCCCAAAGAAGCGAGGTAATGAAGCTGGCGCAGGGCATGCAGGCTGTGGAGTGGGGCGACGGCGACCTCGGACCATGCTTGTGGTCTGGAACCGTAAAAAGGAGACGAACCAATCAAAGTAGGTAAGGTTCCCTTTAATGAGGGCCTTTGAAAGAGCCCTTACGTTCTTTGTATACGACAAACCTTGTTGAAAACGATGTTGTTATCATGGCTGGGTTTTCTGAAAAGAAGGGTGGGTGCTCGAGCGCCTCTTGACCATGACGGTCTCAAATCCCTGAATCAAGGGAGTGGGGGGCTCGAGCCATGGAATGACGACTTAGTTGTCTGAGCCCTTCCATCTTGAGGAAGTTGGCTTCTCTTTTAAAGCTGGTCTTGATCGTGGCCACTTCGACGGTTCATCCCATTTCCGATAGAGGGCTTAAGAAGCTTGACGCAGATGCGTCCGAGGCTGGAGGTTACAGGAGAGGAATTTGACGCTTCATGTGAATCTTTTCCTGCATTCATTTCGGGAACAAACGAACTTGAAGTTGACAGAACTGATTGGAGAGTGTGGCAGTGACCCATTCCTTTGAGCGCTACAAGCTGTTGACCCTTCCCCAAAGCTTTCTTGGGAGCTGCCGTCAACGCAAGGGATATTCAATGATGGTGCAGCCCTCCATTTGCTCCAGATGCATGGCGTTTGAACAGAACGTCGCAAGCAGCGATAGTGTTGGGACCGCATTGGTCAGTGGCAAGCTTGCAGTGTGTAGTGATGCGGCATATCTCAATGCTGTGAGCGATATTCAAGACTTGGGAGTACTTTGAAAACGCAACTTGCTTGTTCACTGTGGACGGGCATTTTGTCAATACACTGGCATGCTTCATGCTTCCTCAATTGGTGCGCAGGTGTGTGAGGACCTTAGGAGTGACCCAGTAGGAGAGTCAGAGCCGCGCAACTCCATTGAAGCGAGCCAGAAGTTTGAAATGTTACATTCGGTGGCGTTGGGATTTCTGTGAGGAGACAGGTGTGCATTTGAACGCGTTCCCTTTGCGCGAACCTTGTGGGAAGTCTTCAAAAATGTGTGAAAGGAGAGACTTCGTGAGGGTAAGGGTTATGCTGTTAGGCTCATCAAAAGTCACACCCAGGAGACTTCTGGCATTTGCTGCAATTTAGATCGAGCGACAGGACCAATAGAGAAGCGCCGCCCATGGAGCTAGAGCGCTTACAACTCTTGCGTTCAGTGTTGATGACAGTGCAACCCCATTGGTGCTTGTTGCGTGCTCATATGTACTTGTGCCAGGGCGCGCTGGAGCGATGTCGGCTACATTCACCGCGTGGAGATTGAGCCCAACAACAGAGCGTAAAGCGTCGAATGTTGGGCAGTATCTTCTTCCATGGGCGGTTCCGCGGTTCCTTGTGATGGTGTGACAAGCGACAACTGGCTAAAGCTGTTTCGTCTCTGACTTCTGTGCGCGGCCACAGGAAAAAGCTTCTGAAGGGGACCTGTGACTCAAAAAGTTGTGCGGGCTGGGACGGGCAAAGAAGTTTCGTTGAGTGCTAGGCTGGTCCAGGCTGGCGGTGTGCTCCGGACAACTCCAAGTTCGACCCGTCTGCAAATTTCAGATGTTGCTGATAGACTTTGTGATGATCTAGTGCAGTGGAATTGCTGATCAAGGCAGTGTCGCAAGAATGACACCTTTGTAGAGGCGCGTGGAGTTGCAGCAAGGGAGCCACTCGGAACATTGCAAATGGAAGAATTTCTTTTTTGAGGCTTTGCAACGTGATCCACCTCCAGGCTTTCCCCTCTCAACGTTGGTGCAACTCCTTCAATGCGATTGCGCAGCGTGGTTGAGACTTAGCAACTTGGAGTCTTGGAGCGCTGGGTACAATATCCGACTGGATGGAACAGGGCATATCCATTAGGCCAAGCACTCCCAACTTTGAGCAACGATCCTTACGTTGCGCTTCACCTTGCTCCGGTTGCAAAATTATGGCGCTTCAGGGCGACCCATGGTCAAAGAGGGCAAGTCCACACTTACCAGAGCACTTTTGGTGACGAGGGTTCCAAAGGGAAATGAAAAAGCAAGAAGGGCTCAGCTGAAGGCGCGAGACTTGCGTGGCAAATGGCGCAAGACTCCACAGGTGAGCCGATTTGCGGTCGCTAAACCACGTTGCCAGCGGGCTCACGCGCTCTAGGCGAGCGTGCAAATTGAAGAAGGAGCCTTTCTGCCCATGTGATTGGACCGGCTGCGTGCTGGAGATTTCCCATTGCACGGCAACAGGGGCTCTACGACGGCTTGGCCGTTAACGTTGACAAGGTGCAGAAGGGAGGTAGCATCATTTGTCTTGACTTGACGCGTGATGTTGCTTGGACATTGATTGCAGCTTGGATGGATTCTCGCCGACTTCTTTCGATTTACTTGGCGCCGGTGTGCGGGACAGGTTTCCAGGCAAGGGATATCCAGGTGCATCCGACAGATGTGAAACCGCTGCGCAGCTGTGTACGCCCTAGCTGATGGGCTTTCTGACCTGGGTGTGCGTGATTCGCTCCGGGTTTGCGTTGCAAACGAGCTTTTTGAATTCACCTACGCCTTGCTTATTGCCAAAGCTTCAAGGAGTGGAATTTGAGTGATTGCGGCCATGCGACTTTCAGGTTTGCGCGCTGGAGGCAGTCGAGACAAGTGGACTCGCGTAGTGGCAAACTTTAGAAGGAGGTTCGCAAATTGATGTTGTTGAGTGTGATCTATAGCCATCAGCGCGCTCCATTGCGCGTTGCAATGGACGCCGAAGAGCGTCCCGTATGACCACAAGCCGTGAATGTCAGTAACGCAGAAAAGTTGCGCGCGGCGCTTGTGCAGGTTAAGCTCCAAGGTGGACACCGTTTAGGTTTTCAACGCCTGAGACGCTGAAAGACATTCGAACCCGGCCTTTGTTGCACGTGCTGCAAGCCCAAATCTCAGTCGCGGTGCAGCCATTTCGCCAGAAGATCTCCCCGATCGTTTCTGATTTTGAGCAAGCTTCCCAGTGACCTTCATTTGCTTTCAGTTGATTCCTTTGTTTCTTTGCCACCTCTCAATGCACCTCAGGGGGCACATCAAAAATTCAGACCGCTCCAAAGTCTCTGAGAGCGGCGCTGACCTTAGCGATTTTCCATTTTGTGGTGCGATTTTTGGATTGCCATGATGTCAGAAAGCTTCATCAAGAGAGCTTCAGTTGGGCGCCCAGCCATTGGGGACATGAGCATTCCTGCAAGACCTTGACATTGCTTTGCTGAGGAACCTGGCGTGGAATTGAGCAGGTGGCAAACTAATTGGTTGAAGCGCGCAAATGAGTTTGAAACCCTGGCCCCCACATGTTCGGCGCGGCGCCCAGAGCAACGGCTTTGGTTGACGCAGGAAATTTTGGAGAGTATCCGTATGAAGACATGGCCGCTCTTTAGCTTGCAACATTGATGGGCAAGATTTTTGAGCATCAGTTGAAGCCTTGCGTGATGAGGAGCTCCAAAGAGGAATGAAGTGACAGCAGCTTGAAAGGACCTGGGCCTGGGCGCCTTCGCGTTGGAAGACTTGCAGACTGGCTCTGTGATCTCAAGAAGGTTTCCTTTGGCATGATCAAGCAAACACGGACGGTTGGTGATTTTTTGATCAGCGGTGTGAATGACGCGCGTATGATTGACGCTTTGGGCGCGGTTGTTTGTAAGCGTGTTCGGCGCAGTGGAGCTTAAGGATTGGACAGCAGTCTGGTTACAAAAGCCTTTGATTTGAAGAGTGGCTACAGGCAGGTTCAAATTCGCGAGGATCACTGGTGCAACAAGCGGAAATTTACCAGCTGGTCACCTTGCCCTTTGGTGCCACTCATTCGGCGCGCAGCTTTTTACGATGATGTGTGCGTTTGTCCCGACCGGGATGTTGCGCGTCTGCCATGCCATGGAGTTGCTCTTTCCGCTGGGAGTAGGCGCGGGATGCAAAGAAGCGCTGATTTCATCTCGGCTTTCTGCAAGTGATTGGGTGTGGCTTCGATTCAACGTTCATCTGCAATACCGAGCAAAAGATCTCTGAAGTTCTTCAGTCACGCAGGTGAGCTCTTTGTCTTGGAGTTTGCTGACAGCTTCTTGCGTCGCCTTGGGCTATCCGAACAGAATTTTTTGATGAAGATGCAACGCCTGCGTTGTTGGCCATGAAAACTCGGCTGGAGTCGGACAAGCCTGTTGCGGTGTCTGACCAAGATGTTGCCCACTGGTTTGTGTACCCTGACACTGCTTTCGAAACCCAAACAGGTGGTGTTGTTGTGGTGTTGGTTGACTCCCTAGAACATTGCGTTGAATCGTTTGGGCTTCGGCTAATTAGACGAGGTTGATTGCAAAAAACTTTGGCAGCGAAGAGAGAACGTCGTTTACGAGCTTGAATTGCCAGCAGCTGTGCTAGAACTTTCTTTTTGGGGTGATGGCGCTTGAAGTGTCACCAGGTCACTTGGTATGGAGGCAACGATAGTGTCTCTAATTTGAGCTTTGAGCACTATGGGCAGACGCGTTGATGAGCTTTTATCTGCAGAATTCGAAAGTGTGGTTTGCGCCTGTGCTTTCCCCACGGCTTTGTGCACGCTCCCTCTTAAAAGTAGTGAGCGCGTGCAAGGCTTGAAGAACTTTGCCTTGCAGTTCAGGGAGCCACGCGAAACACACAATGGGGAAGAAGTTTCGTGGCAACCCCCTGTGCGCAAAACGAAGCTCCATAGATTTGTCAGCGAGTCATTCAAGACACCAAACACAGGTGACGACAAACCTCGTTGAAAACGATATTGTTGTCATATCTGCGGTTTTGAAAAGCCTTACGTTTTTTGGGTGTCTTGAAAAACCGTGCTTGAATGCAAGCAATATATCTTCAAGGGTGGATGCGGCGGGCGCCTTGACCATGACGGTTTCAATTCCCCGAATGAAACCCACCCACAAGTGCAGCACAGCGCAGTGCATCTGGCCCGACTATGGCCTAAGAAGGTTTGTGGCGCCCCCCTGTGCGCATAAAGGAACCCCATACATTTGTCAGAGAGTTGTAAATTCAAGACGCACGAGGCACAGGAGTGAGTTTTTTGACACTTAATAGTTGCACAGCAAAGGTTTAATTGATGTGAAGGCAAAGATGCCTTCAGGCGGTGCATTACAAACAAACGTTTGGCCCACCCACATGTGCAAATCCTCCTCATGACGAATTTTTTTGACACGTGACACTTGCCCACTCAACTCCACAGCATTTATTCAAAGTTTACTCCTTGCGTGGAAGCCGTCTCCAAAGGAGCAGATGCGGCGCACCACTCCGGGGACACCTTGCGTGGCCCAACTGCAGAGAAAGGACGCGAATGAAATGAAAGGGAATAACCCCTTCGAATCTAGGCGGGAGTGTTCCTTCATCTCAGGCAAACCATTTGCCACAGACGTCCAAGGAATGCACCTGCGCTCGCTCTTGCAGGCGTGTTTGTGACGACAGTTCAGGATGACAGTTTCCTTCCAGCAGAGAACCCCAAATTAAAGGTTTTCCTGAGCCCGAACAGTTATGCTGTTCTTGCTATTTTCACCAAAAAACATAGTTCAAGAAGGAACACGCACCAAAAACACGTGTTATTCTTATTGTAGCCATTGTAGCACAATTCAACATGTGGTGTGAAACAGTGCGTATTTCAGGACCCGGAACCAGCCTTCAGAACAATTTTTTGGATGTTCAAATCTTCAGTCAACCTCCCCTCAGCCAATACATTTGGTTTACGCCAAGTGCAGGAGGCTTTGGTCTTTGAGATAAATTCCATCAGTCATGAGATCTACAGTAGCTGCATTTAAAAGTATGAGGAATTGCAGTATGTAGATTACAGCACAATTGGAGTTTGTTTTGCAAATGCAATGACAAAATGAGACAGTTGTACAATTTTGACCAATGAATTTGTTGCGTTGTCACATTTCTAAATACAATGATTTTTTTTGCTGAGGTGGACTCCAGCCGTGTTCTGATTGTGCGGAAGATCAATCGTTTGGTGCTCGGAGGATGTTCTTGCCGGTCATGCCGTACATGCCGAGCACCCCGGAGTGACATGAGAAGATTCTAGAGGATGGTGGGGGCCTTGTTCCTTTATTGTTTCCTCGTGAGTGGACTCTCTCGTGCTTAATTACACTTTCCCATTTTTACAAACCTTTCGTCCACCTCCTCTCTCAAGTATTTTTTGGACTTGTACTATCGGTTTGTGTTTCAACGGATTCACTGTTGATCTCTATCGTAGGAGAAACGCATCCTTTGCACCGGACTGTTTTGAGATGGTGCCTTAGTGCTGACCTTTTGTTTTCGGTTCTATCCAATTTTTTTGGCAAGAAGTCAGTGAAGAGCAAACTGCTGTGGCGAACGACGCCAGCTTAGGCTAAAGTAGAGCCACTGGACACAGAAGGGCGAAGTTGGAAGGGAAAACTACTTTTGGGAATCGTTTCACTCCTTGTTATTAGTAGCTTCTAGCTACTAGCAGCGATGGCCTTCAACCTAGTAGCTTCTTGTTACTAGTAGTACTGTAATGCTTTCTTCATCATCTTTCATCCATTTCCACGATATTTCTGCCATTCTGCTAGGGTTTACGACTTGTATGTTTCGGATTGGCAGGCTAGGTGCATGAGGTATTCTCCGAAATGTTGTAAACGCTGTATTTGCACCGTTGTTGTGTAGTCCAAGCAAATGTTGATGCCTGATCTCTCTCACAACCCACGTGCTACCCTGTTTGCCAGCCATGGTGCACCCCCACACTGCACAGTAGACCGTCGTGCATTTGTGTATATATATATATATATACATACATATATATATATATATGTGTGTGTGTCTGAGGTGGCGCCCTTGTACTTGTGTACCGAAGCAATTCTTTACAAACCGCCCGCCAAACAATGCGGCATAAAAGAGGCGAGTGTACAATCTTAGGCCCTGGTAGTTGTGCATGTTTTAGTTAAAAACCTGGATTCCTTGAGGCTTGGGATTCTCCTCGCCTCAGATTCTCAAGGAGCACTTCTCATGGTGAGCCTCTGGCTACTGTTGCACCTGTCTCTTGTGGGAAAAAATCACTCCTGATTTTGCTCTTTTTTCAAGCTTTGATTGCTCTGTTGGGTTCTAGCCTCAACCTAGATCGAAGACAATCGATTTGCAGGTATGGAACTGTGGAGAATGTGCTGGTGGCTCACTCCAGAGTGAAGCTGTCGGCCCAGATTTGAGACAGATTCGATTAGACCCGAGCCGAGACCTGGTAGTTTCTCGTCAGCTTTTTCACACTTTTCCTTTGTCCTTTCTCTTGTCCTTCTTTCCCGGCTCGTTTTGTTTTTTTCCTTTGGAGTCTTAGGGCTTTCTTTTTCCTTCTTTGTAGATAGAACCATATAGAACCTATTTCCAATACATTTTTCATTTTTCATGATTTTTCGAGGGGATGCACTTTTCTATTTTTCTGAGGTCACTTACAAGTCGTTATGAAATTAACATGAGCGGGCCATGAATTGCGGATATAATTGGTACAGTGCGCTCTAGCTTCAACTTGACGTTCATTAGATTCCCACGCTTGAGCACATCAAGTGGCTATCATCCTGGAATTTTCTTGGAAGTGTCAACAGCCAAGCAATAGAACCGGTGGGAACAGTTGAGCACTACCGAGCCAGAATCCGCCTGAACGTATTTAGACGACGGATGACGCCGGCGCATATGCCCTTTCGCGGTATCGGCCCTTTGGCATCTCGGGCTCTCATCGTCCCAAGTGAAGAAAAGTTAACCTAAGAGCGATGGCCTCCACCCTGAAAGCAAAAGGAATCTAATAGTAATGGCCTCCAACCGACCTACTAGTGATGGCCTCCAACCTAGTAGCGATGGCCTTCAATCTACTAGCAATGACCTCCAACCCAAGAGCGATGGTCTCCAACCAACTTCATGGTTGTCAACCCCTGAGGTCGGGTGGTGGTCAGAATGGGATTGTATCCCGCCTTCGTCCGTCGGGCGGCCCAGAGTGCGCTCTTAGCAGCCTTTGGCTGGCCCTGTGTGGAAACACCCCAAAATAAACACCCCGAAATGATGTTTTTTCCACAGTTCCTTTGCGCACCCAGGGCTTCCTTCGTAGGTCATGCAAAGGTATTTCCCTAACTTCCCTATCCTGTCCACTGGGGATCTCCAATCAGAACCGTGGAGGACATATTCTTGTGCCAGGTCTGGCCTTGGCTTTGTGGTGATGTGCCCCTGGCGGCCTTTGCTTAGCTGTGGTATTTGAAGCTGTGCTTGCAAGTCCCTTGGTTTCGCTTGGTCTTGTCATATCTCGTCGGTTACCCGTATGATGAAAAGAATATCTTTCATCTCCAACTCCATCAGCTGTGGGTCTGCACTTTTTTACCTCCTCAGCCGGTCTGCCGTGGCCAGGGGCAAAGGAGAGGAAGCCTCGAAGATTCTTGCCGAGGGACCAGAACAGCAAGTCCAGGGCACCTTAGCAAGCACAATGCTGTGTTAGGTTGGAGGCCATCGCTATTAGGAGCAAGGACGCTACTAGGGGCTCCTGGCCTTACTAGGAGCAAGGACGCTATTAGGTTGGAGGCCACTTTAGCAAAAGAATGTGATTCGTCACAACCCAGGCCACAAGCACCGAAGCCTTTTCTCCGTAGATGAGTCAATCGCCTGTATCTGGGTCCGGAGATAAAATATACCGCTTAGACTTTTGATCTACATTTGCATTGGATCGAGCCAGGTACGATCATTCGGGTGCAAAAGTTTGAACGGCGCATGAGTGAATCTGGCGCGGGTCTCGAGGACCTGCGGCCCACCCTGCGGCTTCATGAAATCGGAGGGACACACCCACTTCGTAAAATGGACGAGTGGAACGATGACGAAGAAGGACCCAACGCCTTAGATCGACTTAGAATGACTTGGACGATCTTCCCTTTTTCACCTTCATGAAGAGACCGATGACCATGATGACTTGCAACCCACAACCCATCATATCTTTGGACTTGTGCCGCGAGGATCTTGAGAAGGACCTGCATCAAAGCATATCGAAGCACCTTTGCTCTCGGAGCATTTGGTGGGTTGAATGGTGTTCTGCAAGAATGAGACACAAGACGTCAACGTAGATTACAAAACTTGCTCGAAGATTGGCATTTATTTTATTTGTGCACTTCTCTTTCCGCCAGAAGCCGTCACTTGAGATCCCGTGGAATTCTCAACTGAATGGAGATCTGCTAATTCTGAAGACTGATGACACAGGTTAGAGGCGAAAGGAAGTTCCACTTGGTGGCCCAAGTTTCTTCATGTGAACCAGGATCAAGAGGTGTGCGATTCTCGCGTCATGGGCGGATAAGAGTGCCTTTTCTGCAGAAGCATCACCTCATCTTGGGTTTATGGTATGTGTTTTCTTTTTTACCCGTTTGCGACTTACCATGCACAGGGACTTCTCTCAACAGCTCAATGGAAGTACACGGAAGTACATGACTACATACTGAGCCTCAAGATTGCTGAGCAGTTGCGTTCGTCTTAGTCGCTCCGGACGAAATCTCACTTTTTTTTTCTCCAAAAAAGATATATATCTTTGTTGATTCAACAAGGGAGGTCGTTTGGTACATGGTAGACATTGGTAGGGAGACCGGTTTTGACCGGTTTTGACCCATACCATAGGTTGGATGTGTGAGACCGGCGCTGCGCAGCGTGTGGCACCTAGATAGGGACGGGACGGGAGTTGGATGCAGCCCATGGTGCTGTCGGCATCAAGGCATCCATGCTGCCGTACACTGTCGTACTCCAACCTAATAGCAAAAGGAATCTAATAGCGATAGCCTCCAACCTACTAGCGAAGTCCATACATATTACGCGAATTTCACGACAGTTTCTTTCTTCAGGATGTTCTTGCTGCTACTGCTGCTGCTTCTGTAGCACTGGTCTTTTCAAGGAGTGGACACATCGATGCATGGTGATTTTATGAAGAGATCCTCACTGCAAACTTCCTTGTGAGCACTCTTTTCTTGTTGAGGCAACGCTTCTTCCTGTTGGCCACGAGATTCGAATCACTAGACCAGTCATAGGTCAGTCATGTCGCTCAAACAAGGAAATTGCATGACCCAGCCCTTTTGGACTCTTGCTTAGGCCCTTTGTGAAAGCCTCTGTGTTGAGGAGGTTGGCAGGGGATCCTCACTTTAACTCTTTAAGCAATGCTGATTTCGCACGAATTTCTTTAAGATTGCTGGAAAAAGACATCCAAACTGCTTTATTGAACTCATCCTTTGGCCAAGTTCTGCCAGGAAAGTGTTGGACACCGACATTTTTCAGTGCCTCAAGGTAGGACATTGGAAGACCTGGCGATTCCCACAACCTGCTGTTTTACACACTTAGATTACACAATATGCGAGGTGTGTGCCTGGAATGACAGTCATCCGATGTCTTGGGACAACAAGAAGCTAGGCACTTGTTACTACTAGCTTCTTGTTACTACGTGGGGATTCATTTGCGTTTGGGATTGTGACACATGGGATGGTGCAAATATGTGACTTGACAGACTCGCACAGAATTTCGGATTGGTTTGAGCTGATGGTGAGTTTCTTTTTCTTTTTTGGGCGAGGAGGACTTCACCTTTTCCTGTTGACATTTCATGCTTTGCTTTGCTTATTTGCTTGATACTATTGCGTTGCACATTGGTTGCTGTTTGCTTCAGAGATGAAGCGATGAAGACAAGACGCAACCGACTCAGCGCTCTTTGGGCTGCAGGAGCTGATGAAGTCATATTTTCTTGATCGCGGCCTAAAATAAAAAACAAAAAACAAGGCCTCACCGATCAGCGTGGAGCAACATTTTTCCGAAAACGGTAAAAGTGTCTTTGCCTTTGCCTTCTCTCTAAGGAGCTGAAGGTTATACCCGCAAGCTGGCCTTGCATCCTCTCATGAAATGGTCCGTCGCTAATGACTTGGAAGCAACTGTCCAAGTAGACGAACTCAACATTAAAGGCCTTTGGTATATGAAGTAACATGGCCGAAATACCATCCTCCTTTTCGCCGGGAGCATGTGCAGTGAATATGGATGGACCAGAACTCATGAGGAACGTGTTCCTTCTCGCAAGGCACCTCAAGGAACACCACTTTGCTGGTGTAAAACCCTGGCGTGGGAACTGCTTGTTTTGCATTGGTCGGCTAACATATGGAGACATCCCTGAGTTTTTATGCATATTTCGAGCTAAAGGGGGCGTGATTCTGGTATGTGGAATGGCCCAGCAGTCAGCCATTTCCCGCAGGCAGAAACACAAGAATTCACTGTGGTGCCGACGAATGTTTGTCACTTCATTTTTGGGATTCGTTTCAGACATCTCAGTTGAAGCGTTAAACCTAAGAATCCTGAATCCTTGTAGTATCTCCCTGCTATACATATGCAACATTGTACGAGGTAATGGTGTATACTCTATAATGTATACGTTGAGACAATGAAGGAACAGTCATGTGAAGTAGTGGTTGACCACCAGGGGGCCACTTGGGCTACAAGACGAAGCTGGCCAAAGAGGATATCCCCCCGTCTCGGGGGATGTTGCCGGGGTACCGAAATGGTTGAGCTTGTGGAAGCTGACACAGCGATCAAGGTAGATGATGATGAGCCGAGGATGTGGTGGTCGAGGATGAGCACATGCACTCGGCGGGATCACCCACTAAGGTAATGAACAACAGCACAACAGAGTGAGGAGACGTTGGGCGCTAGGCCATGGGCCTTTTCCTGAGGCCCAAGAAGATGGTGGATGAGGTGCGCCCCACAAATATAGGTGGAGAGTGAAGAGTACGACGTGGTTGTGAATGAGGGCCAGAATCTGAGCCATGAGACCAGCCCAAGGATTGCGTGAGACTTCCAGGTGCGAACGCCAAGGAGCAGATGATTGGCTGGATGGTGGTAATTGCAGAAGCTGGCGTCGCAGAGCAGAAGGCATGTTGGAGCATAGCGGCGAGAGTTTTCGCAAGTAGGGAAAGAGGAAGAGGAAGAGTATGAAGGGGAAGAGCGGCACCCTGCTGTGATTGTGTATATCCGACAGGCCAGGGCTGGATAACAGAAGTGCAGTGCTAACAACACCTGGACAGTCTCAAAGAAGGCGGCCAGGATCAGCTCATAGGAGCTGTCTGACAAGGTGAGCGCTGAAGCACCATGATCCGCTGACTGCCCACCAAGCTTCAGTACTTGAGCGTGTGGTGTCCGATTCCCAAACAGAACCGGGCACTTTGGGCATGAGGCAAGAGCTGCAAGCGGTGGGGCCGCCATCCACTTGGGGCGGTGTCAGGTAGGCCATTCCTCCCTTGACTCCTGCGAGGGTATTGGTACTGCACTTGAATGGCAATGAGGGGTGAAGGAGCACTTTGCCTTAGGGCTGAAAAATCTTGGTTGAGGCCATGGTGCATATGCATATGCACGGTTGCAAGTAAAGTTGCATATGCACGGTCGCAAGTAAAGTGGGATGATCTAAGTTGCATGTCGGAGTGCATCGTTGTCCAGGTGGTTGCCCGACTACGAAGCATGGGGTGAAGTGCGAGTAAGAGTGATGTGGATTCTGCTGTGCTAGAGTAGGTGGTCGGTGCTGGGTGCAGCTTTCATCCATTCCCATTTGAACGACGACAGCAGTGCGGCCTCACCGAGCGCATACCCAGTGGTCGAAAAAAATGCGGTGCGCGGTGACATATGACGTTAGATATACAAAGAGGAATGCTTCATTCGCTGGAAGCACTGACAATGGTGCGAGCTAGAGGTGATCTTGGGTCAAATCTTTCAATTATTGCCGTGATTTAGAGGCTGCCAGCCACGGTTAATAGTTGCAATTTTAATTGGGGAGACGACTCGTGTTGGCTCCCGCCTCGCTACAAGGGAAGGGGCGCATATAGCCGAGGCAAGGACAACATGAGAGGAAAATTGTTGTCCCCCTTTGCCTCGGCTGTGTGCAAACGCCAGTTGCCGAAAACCAGTTGCTTCGGATTCGTGGCGCTTTCCGAAAAGGTCGAGTCTAAGTTTGACAAAGGTTGAGTCGCCGAACTCCAAGCCCAAACGCAGCAAAATTTGCAGTCAAGTTGTGTCAAGTACATTCAGGCGTGACGGGTGTCGGCACATTTGTGAGCCATGTGGGATTGGATTTCGCAATGAGCTCTTTGATATGTCTATGTTCCTACCATGAATTGTCTTCCCGCAGTTCTGCGCGAGGTCCGTTTTCTTGTTCTTCCAATTCAAGTAAAACAGACTACTAGTCTTATTCCAGGTATGCACGCTTTTGCAAGAATGGTGGATCTATTTGGATCTCGAAATGTTTGAAGGACTGCGCTGTGGCAAGTTGCATCTTGAAAGCTCCGGCCTGGGGTTAACCGTGCGGCTGTTCTGGCCGTATCGCAGATGGAAGCTGGCCACAAGATTTGATCCAATGCCCTCGGAGCGTTAGGGTTTCAAGTGGCTTAGGAGTGTTCAACTCATGTGAAGGATTTGACATTGTCCAGCCAGAGGTACAGTGAACACAACGAAACTGTTACCTGGCTGGATTTGGACTCCTTGCTTTGGAATTAATCTCATTGGCACAACTTTGAGGTATCTACCTGTGAGTTCCGAGGACATGTTGACTCCGTATCCCGCAAGGGGTATGATGGGAGCTAGGCAAGAGCCCTTTTGACTCAGCAAGTTACCTGTGTAAATATATAATATCGGAGGAATGGGTGCTTTGCTTGACGACGAATTTTTTTCAAGTGGGACCGGCAAACACTCAGAGACTCCAATGGCTCGGATGAGTGTGTTGTACTCGGTACATGCCATCTTCAGATGCGACATTCACCTGCACATCAATAAGACTCATGCAGTCTTTCTGCACGCTTTAATTGGCAACACTCTCGAATAGATACAGTAGATAATGTCAAGTCCCGTTTTGTAACTGAGGCGGACTTACTATATATAAAGACCTTTGAAATGTTCTGGGGGTTGGAGCAATCTTTGTTATTGTTTAAATATACATTTACATTTTTCACATTGTTTTCTCTTTGAATTGGCCCTCGCCCGGTTTGGTTTTAATTTCACCACTGCCGCAGAGTTTCCCATTTCCTTTGGGTTTCCCCTTGCTTCTTGCTATCGTCATTTTTGGTCCTGGGACTCTGATCCCCGATGGCACCTAGCTGCGATGAGAAGCACCAAATTGGTTCGACTTTGGACATCCCTTATTCAAATTATACAAATATATTGTCAAAATAGACTTTTCAAGGGGTAGTCCAGGGGCACTGGAATTGATTCATATGCATTGTTGAGGGGGTCGAGTTGATGAAACGAGACACATCTGGCTTCCAAAAGCACAACTTATATATAAACTCTGATCTCCTTTCATCTCCTTTGAGGAATGCCAAATGGCAATGGACAGGCGGGGACCTCCTTTTGAGTTCCTCATAGAAAGCAATTCAACAAAGGGAATCCATTTCAATCATGAGGATTCTTTTTGGGGAGCTACTAGCACTTTATACTACTAGTACTAGGCCAGAACTCCCTGGAATTGTTTTGGTGGGCACATGCTATTGAGTCTCCACCCTAAAAGCGATGGCCTCCACCCTACTAGCGATGGCCTATAAGTGTTATGAACCACCAGTGCGTTGAGAAAGATGGCCATGGGTGGCTGGGTACAGCACAGACGGCAGTGTCTGACTCTCAGCATCGCCGCTAAGCCGCTAAGTTTTTGCTTTGCTCTGCCAACTTTGGCCACCAGCAAACAAGTCCGCCGTGCCCTGGAAGACTGCCTGAACATGTCCGAAACAAACAGTTTTTGTTGGTTTGCATCGCAAACAAGTCCACCCTGTGCGATTTAAAACAAGTTCAGATGCCATTGCCATCTCGAATGCCCGAGATGGGTCTCCGTCTCAAACAGAGCTCATGGGACGGGTGTCGCTGACACTGCGACGTTTGTGGGCACACACACACGATTTGTGCATGGGACAATCTTGCATTTTGTGGCTATGCAATGTGTCAAACTGGCATAATTTGTAGCTTGTTCTTCAGCGTTGGAGAACTTCTGCCCAGGGACAACCATACTCACCCAGACGTTAATCTTCTTGAAGTGATTGAGCACAGAGGTTACAAGCCATGCCTGTTTGATATTCTTGACAGCATTCTAACATCTTCTGAATGCATTTACGTTTATAAAAATTCTCAAGGAGCTTAGTCTGAGCAACCCACAAAGTTAAATGCATCGGCCAGTTTGAATCTTTCGGGGATATTTTCTGCTCATTGCGAGTCGTTTAGGCAACTAGGTGTCTGAACCTGGCATGCTTGTCATCGAACAGAATTCTCACGAACGGCATTTGGTTCTTAGAGATTCCAATTTTCACATCGTGTTGCGGCGCGTGTTGAACCCAAGTGAAAGGTGCAGCGTTTCGAACTGAAAGGTTAAATTCTGTGGGGACATTAGCCGATCAGCCACATCTTTGACGGCCTAGATGACCGAGACAACCTTCAACAGGACGAGCCATCCAGGCCTTGTTGCAGAACTATGGAGTCCAAATCATCCTTAATCTTTGCAGAAGCTGTTCATTCCTAGTTGCAACCCTTTTGAGACGTTTCTGGTGGCTGGTTGTTCCCTGGACCCATCCATTGAGTAGCAGTCTGTCTTGGCAAAATCAGTGACGCGTGGTCCCTGTGACGCTCACCTGGGTGAGAGATTCCAGCTCTACTGATCAGAAAGGACTTGAGGACATTTGAGGAGCCAACCTAAGACCGGCCTCCAACATCTCCAACAAAAAATGGCAAGGAAAGCAAGACAAAACACAGATGCAATCCGTGGAAGGTGTTTCAAGCTGCAGCCCTCACAAATCAGCCATACTTTCAGTTCCAACAGATGCAGTGGTATGGATTCACCTCATGCAATCTGAGCCATTTCGTCACAGGAGCTGAATGAGCCGTTATGCTCAAGGTTTCCTGGCCCCACATGCCATGAGTGAGGCCAGCGAGGCAAGGTGGACTTTTGGTTGGCTTGTCTGGGAAACGCTAAAAGAAGCAAGAGACCCTCCAATTGAAATGAACAATTAGGAGCAAGGACGCTACTAGGGGCTCCTGGCATCGCTACTAGGAGCAAGAAGCTAGGTAGGTTGAAGGGCATCGCTAGTTGAGAAGACCAATCTCTTGAACTTAGGGGTTCCTTAGCGAACTGTTCAAGTGAGGTACTAGCATGGCCAGCCTGAATGAGACCCACAAGCGGATGGTTAGTTCATGTTGGGTCTGTTTGAGTCACTGGCACCACTGGCACTTGTTCCTAGTAGCTTCTTGTTACTACTAGTAAGGCACTGGCACCTTCTACTCGCGACTCATGCCCTTGCGAATCAGGCCCCCGAAGGACGGCTGAGATGCAGCGAGCTTGTGAAATGGTGGGCCTCGGGCAGAGTCGATAAGGACACTTAGTTGAAGATGTTGAAGGAGTTAACTGCAATGTTTGTGTGTTAGTTTTATGTGTTTCTATTTTGGGGTTTACTCGTTTTAGGATATGTCATAGTCATGAGCTCATGCGGCGGATGCGGTGCATGTGGCCTTTTTGTTATTTCGGCATGGCTTCAAGAGTTGATGCCTCTTTTTCATAGTAAGGCACTTGTTACTACTAGCAATGCACCTGTTACTACAACGGCTTTAGCCAAATACAACGGTTCAAAAGCGGCCCATTTGGGCCTTTGGACCCCGCCAGGTGCAGAGCCTGCTGAAGACACAAGCTGCACAACAGCGAACGCCCGGCTGATGGAGATCATGGCTTGTTGAATCCAGTCTGGTCTGATGGATATGATTTCGCCATGTTGATCATTCCTGAATATTCCTGATGCTTATGATCTTGCTTGGCTGCTGTGATCTTGGAATGTTGCCAGTCGGACGACAGACCTGAAATCTGAGGCCATATCATCCATTCTGTTGCCAGATCTTGCAGCTCATGCTCAAGGACAGCATGCCCCAACAGCCTGAAACCATGACAACGCTCGGCCGTGACGTCACAAAAAGTGGACGACGAGGTGTCTCTCGTCCGTACTCGCCTCAGGCGGACACATGCGGACGCACATGGGTCGATGACGTGAGAATGCCGAACATCGTTCATGTCTAGTAGCTTCTTGTTACTAGTAACAAGTGCCACGCTAGTAGTAACAGGTGCCTTACTAGTAGTAACAAGAAGCTATTAGCTTCTTGTTACTAGTAGCAAGAATGCTCCTAGTAGCGATGCCAGGAGCCCCTAGTAGCGTCCTTGCTCCTAGTAGCGATGCCCTTTGCTCCGAGTAGCTTCTTGTTACTAGCAGCGATGGCCTCCAACCTACTAGCGATGGCCTCCACCTAGTAGCTTGCTTCCTCACAGAGCTTCACATTTCTCATGTTTGGAGCCACTTTGCTTACCGGACCGCCCGTTTCTCAACCCTGGGCGCTGATGCTCAGGCCTGGTAGCAAGCGACTTTTTCTTGGATTCCGGATTTGCCAAAGGGGGAACCAATAATCCTTTCCAACACTTTACCACTTGCCACTTTGGTATTGAAGTGCACCAAGCTTGGCATCTTGATTCTAGCTGTTTGAGTCTTTGTTTCTTGTTTGTGTGAACGTGTGTCCATTCGAATGCTTTCAAAAGACATGAGCTTCTTACCACAGCTGGCCCTCAGCTGGCATGTATGTAAGCAATTCTGTAGACTGTCCTCTCCGTCAAGGTGCTTACTTCATGGTACACTTCTCTTCACCCCGATCCAAGGCAAGATTGGGCTGTGAACGTTTTCTGTGCGTCTGTGCGCCAAAAGGTTCCTTAGGGCCCCGAACTGAGGTGAGGCGTGAGAACTTTGAACTTGGTAGGAGGACGACAAGGACAAAGCGTCCTTGCTCCTAGTAGCGATGCCCTTGTTACTAGTAGCTTCTTGCTCCTAGTAGTACGGCCAGGAGCCCCTAGTAGCGTCCTTGCTCCTAGTAGCGATGCCTTGTCCCTTTTTAAATCTTTTCTTATTTGTTTATTTGTTTAGCCCGCCCTTACTTCATTGAGTAGGCGACTACTTAATCAGTGTATAAGGGAGAATAAGCTACTAGGAAGAAGCGCTCGCACTAATGATTTGGTTCCTAGGTTGTTAGGGAAACTTCACATAAGAGCACCACATAGACTTGGCCAGCATTTCCAATCGAATCCACCCTGAAAGCTTCTCCAATTGTGCACGCAGGGCTTGAAAGCTTGAGACGGACGACTAGCTCTAGTGCCTGTGGGCTTTCAGCACAAGCTTGCCCAGGATCACCTGTAGCTGGGATGAAAGAGAAGTCTCAGGGAGTGGCGGGATGGAGCATGGAGCACTGCACAAGTGTTGTGACTCATGTCTGAAGTATATGTGGCTCATGTCAAACATCCTACGTTTGAAGCTGCTGCTCGGCTGCTGGCCATGTGTTCGGCTGTTCGGCTTGGCCGTTTGATGGTTCAGACAGCAACGGTCCAGAATTCCACTCCGTACTGCAGGTAAGTTGGGCTAACCATGCCTCCTGCATTGAGACCCGTGTCTTTCACAACTCCTGTGAAGCTGTGCAAGAGGCCTGACAACGGGTGTATGGGTGTGTTCTGCTGGCTTTGAGCTGCGTGCACATATGGGTGTTGCAGCAATCCCCACCTCTTGGTGTGAGAACATGTGAGAACGAACCATGAACCAGGAACCAAATGAATGGAAGCGTGAGCTATCCTGCGTCCTACCTAATGGCAGGTTTCCTAGTAGTTTGTTTAGCACTTAATTGAGTAGCCGCCTACTTAATTAAGGGCGGGCTATGCACAGTCCGGGGCTCCGGGCAGAAGGAAGAAGGCGCACCGGGCAGGAGATCGAGACCCGCATCAAAGAAAATGCGGATCGCAAAAAACTTCCAGGTGCGATCTGTTGGTC